CTTGATCATTTGGCGAAAAAGCCACGCACGAAACCGAAAAAAGCACAGGGAATGGACGTCCGAGCGATGCCCAGCACTCCCACCCGCCCTCCCAAAGCATACGTAACACCCGTGCCTGAGCATGTTCAGCAGTAGTCTTTGGATGGACAGCTGCTTGGAACCAAAGCCGACCCAAGGTGCGCGACGCTTGAGCGAGGTACGCCACGCGTGCCAGGGGCGCCACGCGCCCCAGGCTTCCTGGGGCCCGAGCGTGCCAGGCACGCCTGGTGCGCCAGATGCGCCACGTGATCCGAGTGCGCCAGGTGTGCCGCACACTCTCGCCGCGCCAGGTTCGTCACGTCCGGGGCACGTCCAAAGTGCGTCAGGGCGCCTGCGCACGTGATAGCACACATCGCGAAACATGTCGGCCCCCACCATCCTTGTCGAATACCAATGCCCATCATGAAGTCTGGTGGGCCTGTGCACAGCAAGCCATGCATCACCACCCCCGCGGTCCCTTTCAAAAGCAATTTGACAGTGATCCCGGGATGGCCGCGCATGATCCAGGTCTAGCCGCGAGGTGCATGTTGTATTGTTTTTGTGTCAGGATGGTGGCCCTGCGCGCAGCAGGGAATATGCTGACACCCCCGCCGTCCCTGTTCAAAAACAATGCAAAGTTCTCGCGGGCCTCACGAACATGACTCAAGACTTTGCCCCGAAGTGTACTTCGTATTGTTTTCTGACAGGGATGGTGGGGGGGGGCCGCATCGGGTTGGTCGCGCATGCTCCAAATGTGGAGGCAGAGTGCGGTTTGCATTGTTCTCTGCCAGGGATGGTGGGGGGCGGATCTTCAAGGTGTCCTCGTGGTTCCTGGTTGGACGCCGGTCGCCCGGGGGAGGGGGTGTATATGAAAAAGGAACACTGATAAACCCCGCCCCGAGAGAGAAGAAGGGGATTGGACGCCCAGAGGGCTGGTGGGACCCTTGGGGCCCAGCCAACGCAGACCGCCCGGCCGCGTCCGAATCCGACACACCAGCGACACCACCACCAACAACAACAACGCCAACGACAACAAACAACGGAACGACAACAGCAGCAGCACCAACAGCAACAGCCACAGCAACGACAACAACAACACCAGCAGCAGCAGCAACAGCAGCAACAACAGCAGCATCAACAGCGTTTACAACGACAACAACGACAACAACAACAGCAACAGCAGCAGCAACAACAGCAACAGCCAGGCGAGCGCGCTTGGCGCGATTCGCGGCCTGGGTACAGTGCCGTTTTTACTACATGCTCCGCGTGCGGATCATGTATCAAAACATGCAGGGATTTAGTAGTAAAAACAACGATGGGTTCATGCATAAATTCATTCATACATAGTCCAATCCTATATTTATACATTTCCCTGGCGAAGTACCCAACCCCTGCGCAAAAGCGGGGCGCAACTAGTTTAGGATATTTTGTAAGGGGGCGATGACGGAGCGAGGGTTACATATGTCTGCAGACGGAATTCGGGAGACTCGCAGGACACTGGCTACAGGAAAAGGGCTTGACAAAACTGATGAGTTACAATTCCTGAGCACTCCTAGCCACTTCGAAAACGGGGATCGCAGCAGGCCTCGAAAGTGGCGACAGTTTCGCATATCGCAGACCCGCAGGGATGGCGAGGTCTAAATTGGGTCCGCGCGTGGCGTCACTGCGCTGGGCCCCCCAGCAGGCCTCGAAAGTGGCGACTGTTTCACAGATCGCAGCCTCCAGGGGATGGCGAGGTCTCATTTGAATCTGCCCGTGGCGTCACTGTGCTGGGCCCCCCAGCAGGCCTCGAAAATGGCGGCAGTTTCGCAGATCGCAGCCCCCCAGGGATGGCGAGGTCTCGTTTGAATATGCCCGTGGCGTATCTGCGCAGGGCCCCCCAGCAAGCCTCGAAAGTGGCGACAGTTTCACAGATCGCAGCCCCCCCCAGAGATGGCGAGGTCTCGTTTGAATCCGCGCGTCGCCCTCACTGTGCTGGGCCCCCCAGCAGGCCTCGAAAATGGCGACAGTTTCACATATCGCAGCCCCCCAGGGGTGGCGAGGTCTCATTTGAATCTGCCAGTGGCGTCACTGTGGTGGGCCCCCCAGCAGGCCTCGAAAGTGGCGACAGTTCCACAAATCGCAGCCCCCCCACGGATGGCAAGGTCTAATTTGAATCTGCCCGTGGCCCTCACTGCGCTGGGCCCCCCAGCAGGCTTCGAAAATGGCGACAGTTTCACAGATCGCATTCCCCCAGGGATGGCGAGGTCTCATTTGAATCTGCCCGTGGCGTCACTGCGCTGTGCCCCCCAGCAGGCCTCGAAAATGGCGGCAGTTCCACAAATCGCAGCCCCCCCAGGGATGGCGAAGTCTCATTTGAATTTGCCCGTGGCCCTCACTGTGCTGGGCCCCCCGGCAGGCCTCGAAAATGACGGCAATTTCGCAGATCGCAGCCCCCCAGGGAAGGCGATGTCTAATTTGAATCCGCGCGTCGCCCTCCTTGTGCTGGGCCCCCCAGCAGGCCTCGAAAATGGCGGCAGTTTCACAGGTCGCAGCCCCCCCAGGGATGGCGAGGTCTCGTTTGAATCCGCGCGTGCCCTCACTGTGCTGGGCCCCCCAGCAGGCCTCGAAAATGGCGACAGTTTCACAGATCGCAGCCCCCCAGGGATGGCGAGGTCTAATTTGAATCCGCCACTGTGCTGGGCCCCCCAGCAGGCCTCGAAAATGGCGACAGTTTCACATATCGCAGCCCCCCAGGGATGGCGAGGTCTAATTTGAATCTGCGCGTCGCCCTCACTGTGCTGAGCCCCCCAGCAGGCCTCGAAAATGGCGACAGTTTCACAGATCGCAGCCCCCCAGGGATGGCGAGGTCTAATTTGAATCCGCGCGTGCCCTCACTGTGCTGGGCCCCCCAGCAGGCCTCGAAAATGGCGACAGTTTCACAGATCGCAGCCCCCCAGGGATGGCGAGGTCTAATTTGAATCTGCGCGTGCCCTCACTGTGCTGGGCCCCCCAGCAGGCCTCGAAAATGGCGACAGTTTCACAGATCGCAGCCCCCCGCAGGCAAGACAGGAAGAGGCAGGGAGGGAGGAGGAGGAGGAAGGAAGGAGTGGAGACCACACTGCTCTATTCAAAACGAATACCCAACCAAGGAGGGTTGGGAAAAATCGTATGTATAAAAAAACTGCCCTGTGCGGGGGAGCTGCCCTTCGCCAAGGCGTGGGAGCCGGCCCCGCGCGGGGGCGCGGAGAGGACAGCGTGCGCGGAGCCCCGGGGGGCGCGCGAGGCGCGAGGTGTGGCCACCCAGGCTCTTCGGGAGGGCCACAGGGGGGTTGGTCCCCTGCCTCCCTCACCGAAATGATCGTTTGTTTTCCTTTGGCACTCACCTCGGCAAGCTGCCACCGCGCACCTTTTCAGGGCCGGGCGGGCGGGCTCGATCGCGCCACGCCTGAGCAGACAGCTGCGCGGCGCGCGGGTGCAGAGGGGAGGAGGGAGCCAACCGGAGAGTCAGAGAGACACCAGCAGGGTGGGAAAAACACACACAAACACAGAGACACAATGAGTCTTCGACCCCCAGTGAGATATGGGAAGATGTGGGAAGTGGAGGGGGGAGACTAAGATCCAGGGACCATGGACAAACATCGGGGATTCTGGGATTTGATTCGTGCGTCCCAGGGCCTCTTCAAACAGGGCTGGACCTGAACGGTGTTCTGGCCATCTCGTTGGCCGTTGTGATGTTCATTTTGGATTGCATTCAAGGCGAAGCGAAGGCAGAACGAAAACGCAAAACACCGCTTAGGTTCAGCCCTGGAGCGCAAGAGGGATTTTTCCACGTACATGAAGCGACGTCGGTTTCCAGAGTGCGCCTTGCGCGAGCGTTCGTATCACACGGCTGGTCTCGCGGACTGGGGAGCCGTGTTCATCTCTGTGGTTTGGCGCGTGTTGTGGCCTCCCCAGTCCTTGAGGTTGGCACCACGTTCCGCTCGCAGGGCAGGGCACGCACATCCGCCAAACCACACAAGCGCATGTTGCGGTCAATTCGCGGGTGGCCCGAACGATTGCTTCGCCCGTGCGTATGCGAATTGACAAGCACTCATGCGGGCTCGCGGCGCACGCCATCCGCTGCATGTGCAATGGCAGCAACTGGTCTCTGACAAATGTGTGAGTGCATTCACATCAAGCGTCTTGTCACGGGTTCATGGTCTGCTTGCCAATCCGAGAGTTGGGTTGTCAGTCGCAGACCATAGTGTGAATACATAGGCTTCCCTTTCAGCACTCCATTGGTAGTACGAGGGGCGAATCGAGTCAGCTGTTCTCCTGAATGCTTTGGACACCAGGCGCACTGGAGAGGAGAAATTGCAGAGAAAATCGCGACACGGGCGCGCAGAAAGCCTGTCGGCGGCGATGAGGTGCAATTTGGCATCGCTCGGACGTGTGCATTTTTTCGGCGACGCCAGCTCCAAAACATCTGCACTGCTTTTGCGATGTAGCGAGATGCGGTTTTAAGACGGAGGGAAAAGGCGAGCAAAGCGAGCGATCCGCCGTCGTCGTGGTTCTCAGCAGCGCGCTGCATTGTTTCGCTGTGCGAGTCTTCGGACACCGTTGCGTGAGACAAACGTGCATCTTACTTGTAATCATGCGCCCTCTTACATATGCTGTCCAATATCCCATCTCGCCATCCACGGCTTCCTCTATGCTGCATTGGGGTATGGGGAAGGTCTACTACGTTGTATACACTGCGGCTTAACATGCCACTTTCGGCTTGCGGTGGATGTCAAAACTCGACGTCGCACCGTTGGGGGTAAGTGAGATGGTGCAGGCATTCTCAGGAGGCGTAGGGGCTCCTCAGAAGCCTTCTGTTGCCTCGGCAGAGGCGCATCAAGCTTCTCAGAAGGCTTCGGGCCTTCTGAGCCTTCTGAGAGTACCCGCCCACTATGCTTTCCCCCTTTGGCGCGACGCCGAAGCACCACACACACACGCACATCATGTTTACCCCCATACAGGGCCTGGTCGGATTCATATGCAGCACTGGTGGTAATGATTGGGCAATCTATTACGAGGCGTTGGAGCCAACAGGATTTTTGAACAGCTCCACGTTCTTGCTCTTCGTGGCGTTTACCCAGATCGCTGTCTTAAATATCCAGCGGCCTGCGGCAAGTTCCGGCACCGTGCCAGTTAACAGTACCAGCTGCGATTGTTCGAGGGGGCACGGCAGGCCGTGACGTGTGAGGCTTCGGGTCTCGAGGCTTGGTAAAAGCGTGAGGAGGATGATGAGGACTACGAGGGTTATGGGGATGACAGCGACGAGCATTCTGAGGACGATGATGATGAGGGTGACGATGGTTTTGATAATTTTACTCAGATGTAGATGGTAATGTGGATTTTCAGTATGATGGTATTGTTAAGTATGAGGATGGTAGTGTTGATTATGATGTTGATGTTGATAACGGTGATGCTGGCGACCATGTTGACGATGGTTATGAGGCTGATGGTGGTGATCAGACTCAGAAGTTAATTGTGGTGATGATGCTGCTGCTGATGATGATGATGAGACTGAGGATGAGAATGGCGGCGGCGACGGCACTGATTGTGATGATGATGTTAATGAAGACGAGGCTGAGGATAAGAACGATGATTGTGATAATGCTGCTGACGACGATGCTGATGATGATGATGAGGGCGACGATGAGGAATGTGATGGTGACGATGACGGTCACGATGGTGATAATGATGCTGTTGACGATGGTGATGATGGTGATGATGCTGATCATGATGATGATGATGATGTTGATGCTGATGGTGTTGATGTTGATAATGATGATCATGATGGTGATGATGAATATGCTGTTGATGATGCTGCTGGTAATGAAGATGCTGATGATGTTGACGATGATGAGTATGCCGATGATGATTATGATGCTGCTGGTGGTGATGATGACGTTGATGTTGCTGATGCTGATGATGATGCTGATGATGATGCTGATGATGATGACGATGTTGATGATTATGATGATGCTGATGATGATGATGGTGATGATGCTAAGGGTGATGATAACGATGACGATAACGACAACGACGACGACGACGGCGACGGCGACGGCGACGGGGATGATGGCGGCGGCGGCGGCGAAGGCGACGACGATGACGGTGACGATGACGATGATGATGGTGATGTTAATGATCATGATTCGATGATCATGATGATGATCATGCTGATGATGCTGATGATGATGCTGATGATGATGATGATGATGATGATGATGGTGATGGTGATGGTGATGGTGATGGTGATGATGATGATGAAGATGAGGAGGAGGAGGAGGAGGGGGACGATTGATGGTGATGCTCATAGGGATATTTGTGTGATGGTGTTGGTGATGGTGATGTTGTTGCTGATGGCGAGGAGGACTCGGAGGCGGAGAAGGAGGCGGAGGCGGAGGAGGAGGAGGAGGAGGAGGATCCGTAGCCTGGCTCAAGCCGTTTCCCATACTGAAAGTTCTGTCTTCATGTTGGACCCTTGAGTAGTTCGGTTCTCCCGCGGAGCTCCCGCGGCGATGGCAATGCACATTTCTCCTTTTCTCTTGCGGCGGAAATGGTTGCAGCCGCGGCCTATGGCGCATCGGCTGGAGGGGGCTCACGGAGGGTTGTCGCTTCGGCAGTTGCTGCAGCGACACGCATTATCATCGACGGGGGGCCGGACAAGAGCGAGGGTAGCACGGAGCCCAGCGAGGTCGATGATGAGGTGATGGCGCGCATCGACGCCATCACACCATGGTTCAGCAGCCAGGTAGAGGGGCGTTGCTCGCCTGGCAAGGAGAGGGCGACGCTCAGTGTGGGCGCCCAGCATCTCATGGGCGATTTGGGCTGCGGTGCTCCAGGAGGACTTGCAGCACCCGCAGAGCGCGCAGCGTGAAGGCGGGTCCCATGGGGGGGACCACCCGAAAAGATCTTCCACAAGAGCGTCCGAGGAGGCTCCTGCTCCTCCTCCTCCTCCTTCTCCTCCTCCTGCTCCTCCTCCTTCTCCTTCTCCTCCTCCTCCTCCTCCTCCGCCTCCCCCTTCTCCTTCTCCTCCTCCTCCTCCTCCTCCTCCTCCGCCTCCCCCTTCTCCTTCCCCTCCTCCTCCTCCTCGTCCTCCTCACCATTCCCGACACGTCCAGAGACGAAGGTGACGGCAAGGCCCAGGCTTTCGAGCACGGCTTGCACCTGGAATCGGAACTGGCCGACCTCAAAGACATGCTCCTCCAGCTCCAGGCAGACGTCCTCAGCGTGCCTGCGCAAAATTGCCTGAGCAATTTCGCCTCAGGGGCTGACCCTCAGGTCACCAAACCCATCGCCAACACGACTCTCACGAGCGAGGCCATGGACACTAAGACCTTTGGCAAGAAAGGTATCGACTCGTTGACATACTTGCAGCTGCTGCCCTCCCCAGGAGCTGTCCAGCCGCAAGTCGCCATGAACATCGGCGAGATGGCCCTCACGGGCGATATCCTCACCGAAGACAATAATGCGATTGTTGCCATCACGGACTTGCACTCGTAGGCCTCCACAGGATAGGAAATGCAGCAAGTCGCGGGCGTCACCATAATAGATGTCGCCCAAACCGACTCCCTTGTAACACACAGGACTGATCCGCAGATGGGGCCGAGGGGCGGTCCCAAGTCGAAGCGCCTCCCAGGCCCCAAAGGTGGTTCGAAAGGTAGCCACCGCTGTGCACTCCTCGCAGGCATGCTGCAGAAGAGGGGATCACCTTCGAGACCGACGGCGACCTGCTTTACGACGAGATCGAGAGCGAGCTCATCACCATGGCTTCAAACATGAGACTCGGTCATCGAGCTATGCGAGCATCTCGTAGGGCGATCGCGCCCGCCCGATTGCCGCGGTGGCAGGCCCTGAACAGAGAGACGGTAAGACCGTTTCGAGTATTGGGGCGTGTGTTGTGGTGCGTGGCGCATGTGCTTGCACAAGACCCTGCTGTTCAGGGTCTCTTGACATCTTCCTCTTCCTCCTTCCTTTCGCAGCGAGCACATGGGACGCCAGGCGAGGCCACAGCCTGGGCTCTGCTTGTAGGGCGGGTTGAGCGGAGGGACGAGACGGCGATTGTGCCACGGATTCGGTGCGCCAGGGCCGTGGCAAATGTCACGGAAACGGTGCGCCTTAGGCTTGGCACAGGTGCAGCTTCCGTTGACCGTTGCTGCGTTGCCTGGCCCCCGCCCCCGAGGGGGAAGAGGGATGTCTAGCAAGGGACAGGGGGTTCCATTTCTCGGGTCCCGGCCGCAACTATTGTTCAGGCGCGTGTTTTCTGTACTCGCACGGGCACGCTTCATAGTGCTAGCTACAGGAGGAGGGAGGATGAGGAGGCGGAGAAGGAAGGCGAGACGGACGCACAATGCCATCACATGTGACACTTTTCGTCTCCACTATTTAAGGAACTCTCATGGGACTCGTGTGAGTCCTCTTGGGGCTGCCTTGGCCTCCTGTGAGGCAGCTCTGGGGGTCCTTTGGTGCCCACTTGGGCCGTATTCGAGCCGTCTTACGCCGTCGTTGGGCTTCTTTTGGCCGTCTTGGTGCCCCCTTGGCCATATTGCGGGTGCCTGGGGGCCGTCGTGGTGCCGTCTCGATCCGTCGCAGGGCCGTCCACGGGCGTCTTGGGTCCCAGTGGGAACCGCTTGTGCCATTTTGGGACCGTCTTGGATGCCTCTTGGGCCATTTCAGGGTCCTCTTGGGCCATCTTTGGACCCTTTGGGGGGTTCCTGCGCCGTCTCGGGGTCATCGTGGAGGTTTCATGGGTCGTCTTAAGAATGCGAACATCGTTCAAGCACCCAGCCGAAGTCAGTGGTTTGGGCCTCTTGGGCCCTCTTGGAGGTCCACTTGGAGCACGTTTGTGCCTTCGTGGAGGCATGCTGGGTCGTCTTGGAACTAAGTTCGGTTGCCTTGAGACCATATTGAGCCGTCTTCGCATCTTGGGTCATCTTGGTGTCCTTGGTTGCCTGCATTGGCCGGTTTAGAAGCTCTGGACGCGGACGCATGGCTTTTATCCGGGATCGGGGCTTCGGGAGCGCGGGGATCCATTGTGTTGTTGTCGAGGGATCGCGCCCTCGGGAGAGAGTGGCGGTGCACGGGAGGGGACACAGCAGAATGCACCAACCTTACCAGGTAGCATTTGTCATTCCACTACGCCTCAACGTGCCAAGAGGCACGATGACGGATCATCCTCGGAATATTTGTTGACGAGGCCATGAAGACCTTGCTGACTGAGAAGGACGGGACATGCTGATCGGGCGAGAGTCAAGTGGTAGCTTCAGAAGGAGATTTCAGGGTCAGATGACCAGAGTAAATGCACGTATTTGTCCTGCCCTCCCCCTCCCTCTCTTTCCTCGATCGGGGATGGACCTGGGAAAGAGTCCGAGGTTTCAGACTTGAGGGCCGTGGTGTTCAGGGAGGAGGAGGGAGGAGGAGGAGGAGGAGGAGCAGGGGCAGGAAGAGGAGCAGGAACAGGAGCAGGAGGGGGAAGAGGAGGAGGAGAAGGAGGAGGAGGAGGAGGAGAAGGAGGAGGAGGAGAAGGAGGAGGAGGAAGAAGGGGCGGAAAAGGAGGTGGGCGGGGAAGAGGAGGAGGCTGAGGGGGAAGGGGAGGGGGAGGAGGAGGGGGAGGGGGAGGGGGGGGGGGGGGGGAGGGGGAGGGGGAGGGGGGAGGGGGAGGGAGGCAGGGGGAAGGAGAGGGGGAGGGGAAGGGGGAGGTGGAGGGAGAGGGGAGGAGGGAGCTCACCTTACCCCTCGCTCGCCGCCGAGGCTCGCTGCGGAAGCATCATGGCGCGAGGTTTTCTGACCGTGTTCGGCCTCCATCTCCTCCTCCTCCTCCTCATCCTCCTCCTCCATCTCCTCCTCCTCCTCCTCCTTCTCCTCCTGGCCCCCGGGACCGTCAAACAAAAACAGCGACCCGCGTGACACGCTGGTCCCCGGGAAGGTCGGGGGCGGAAAAGAGGGGGGTGATGACTAAGGGGGGGGGAGTGGATCTCATGGCGCGGGCCATGATACTTCCCCAGATTTCATGGCGCCTCTTCTGATTTCCTTACGCCCCTGGCCCCCCC